TACGACACAGACTACGACACAGACTACGACACAGACTACGACACAGACTTCACACAGACTACGACACAGACCTCACACAGACTACGACACAGACTACCCACAGACTACGACACAGACTACCCACAGACTACGACACAGACTACCCACAGACTACGACACAGACTACCCACAGACTACGACACAGACTGCGACACAGACTACCCACAGACTATGACACAGACTACGACACAGACTACCCACAGACTACCCACAGACTACGACACAGACTACCCACAGACTACGACACAGACTACCCACAGACTACCCACAGACTACGACACAGACTACCCACAGACTACGACATACCCTACGACACAGACTACCCACACACTACCCAGAGACTACGACACAGACTATGACACAGACTACCCACAGACTACGACACAGACTACCCACAGACTACCCACAGACTACGACACAGACTGCGACACAGACTACGACACAGAGAATGACACAGACTACCCACAGACTACCCACAGACTACGACACAGACTACCCACAGACTACCCACAGTCTACGACACAGACTACGACACAGACTACCCACAGACTTCGACACACACTACCCACAGACTACGACACAGACTATGACACAGACTACGACACAGACTATGACACAGACTACCCACAGACTACGACAAGTCTAAGCACAGACTACCCACAGAATACGACACAGACTACGACACAGAGAACGACACAGACTACCCACAGACTACCCACAGACTACGACATAGACTATGACACAGATTACGACACACACTACCCACAGACTACGACACAGACTACCCACAGACTACCCACAGACTACGACACAGACTACGACACAGACTACGACACAGACTACCCACAGACTACGACACAGACTTCCTACAGACTACCCAGAGACTACGACACACACTACCCACACACTACCCACACACTATGACACACACTACCCACACACTACCCACAGACTACGACACACACTACCCACAGACTACGACACAGACTATGACACACACTACCCACAGACAATGACACAGACTACGACAAAGACTACCCACAGACTATGACAAAGACTACCCACAGACTACGACACACACTACCCACAGACCACAACTGTCTGTCACATTTTACCCTCCACGTCAAAGCTGGTTAACAATAAAAAAAATTAAGATGGCAAGGAAAGTGTTGTAACTCTCTATGGGAGGTAACTCTTGTCAACTTGTCGGACATAACACATTTGAAAGTATATATGAAAGTATTATGACAATTATGGTAAGTACAATTCTTTCACTTTTCAATAGATATAAGATGTGATAAGGCCCTTTTTTGTCCACGGGATGTGCTTAATTGAAGAAATGAGGAGAAAATAGAGATCGTTATGAAAGTTATCAGATGTATTCGTATGAATAAGAATAAGATTTTATTTGTTTCAACACTTGCATCAGCGTGTGTCGCAAACACTGATGTGTTAGGTTTAGCTGCACTCGTGGGTTTTCACATCAGTAGACGACAGGTTCATCTCGCCTAATGACCGGCCGGGTATGTAGGCAATGTGGCGGTCCGAGTGTATCTATGTAAGTATACGTGCCTCGGTATAAGATTTTGTGACACACACAACAAAGGAATGTCAGTTAGGCAAATGAGTCAGACAGGTTGGGTCGCGTTATCTCGGGGTGTCGCGTTATCTCGGGGTGTCGCGAGGTTGCATCCGGGAATGGGGGAATCCCCTGCAGGTGTCATGTTGGTAGTTCGTGGCTTTTAATTGGATTACTTCTATATATGGGCATACCGACGTCTTCTGTTCATCTGCAAATCGGGGTGCGTGATGGTGGGGGGATGTTGTGATGGGGAATATTTTTTCTCTCGAATGGTCATATATATATATATATATAGATACATAGATAGATAGATATACTGTGTGTGTGTGTGGGGGGGGGGGGGGGGGGGGGCTGGGTGGAGAGAACCCATGCTTGCCGTAAAAGGCGACTATTCTGGTAGTAAGAGGCGACTAACGGGATCGGGTGGTCAGGCTCGCTGACTTGGTTGATGCATGTCATCGTATCCCAATTACGTGGGTCGATGCTCATGATGTCAATCACTGGATTCTCTGGTCCTGACTCGATTATTTACAGACCGCCGTCATATATCTGGAATATTGCTGAGTGCGGCGTTAAACAACAAAGAAACCAAACAATGTGTGTGTGCGTGCGTGCGTGCGTGCGTGCGTGCGTGCGTGCGTGCGGGTTGGGTGTAAACGCTACTTATTCCAGTATTTCATTTAGATCCCGTCGTCTCAGTGTAAAGTCGGACATCAGCCCAGAGTCAGGCAGGCCGTACACGCTGATCTTAAAATAACCCGCACGGGTCTGGCACTGGAGGACTAATGATCAAATCGGGCGAATGTGGGATTCGACCCCATGATTCTCAGTGATAGATGCTGTGGTTTATCACAGTTAGTTCAAGCTATATAGGTCCACCAGAAATTACCTTCCACTTCTTTGAAATACTCTTATCGTCAACTTTGACACAGTGACAATGTCACACAGTTGAAACCAACTGCAGCCTGGGGCTGTTACAACATGGCGTCCCACACACTATCACGTGATAAAATAACAAACAACTGAATAAACTGGAACTATATTTAATTATGTGCCCAATCTAAACATTATCTTAATGGAAAGTGATGATTCGAAATGGCCTCTTAAAGGGCAAGTAAAGTGAAAAAAATGATTGCGATGTTTTTGCGAATATCACTTTTCCTTAATACATTTAGTCATTTTCCGAGAAACCTACAAGGGGGCGTGTTCTAAAGCTACCGGCGCAGCGGTGACAGCTGTTTTCATTGGCTGATAGGGGCGGTGGGGTAGCCTAGTGGTTAAAGCGTTCGCTCGTCACGCCGAAGACCCGGGTTCGATTCCCGACACGGGTACAATGTGTGAAGCCCATTTCGCCGTGATATTGCTGGAACATTGCTGAAACTCGCTCACTCATTGGCTGATAGGTTTGCCGCGTTTATCTATCTTGAAATTCTTAGCCCTTCTCTGTCTACTCTTTCTACAACTGCTGTTGATCCTACCAACAAAACAACACATTTCATACATGTGTTGAATGTGTGAAACGACCTTTGATCTTGACATTGGATGAGCAGACAGAAACAACACAACGTTTGACAGAATCCGATGCAGAAGCAGGCCGACTGGGCGTCGGCCCGTTCGTCATGATCGTTGAAATTGCGCAGCGCGTGAAACACCGGGAACCCGTGTTAACCTGTACTTAGGGCTATCCCCTTACTGGGGGAATTTTTCGTGTTGGGGACGATTTCGCGTGTCTTTTTTATCGTGGCCTTTAAATGCAACTTGTACATCGTGAATATAACAAATGATGGGGGGTCGATATGTATTCAAGTGATGTATTGACGATGCTAGTTTCATTAATAGAGATTATTACACGAGCACGAGTGTCGTCAAACCAGTATGACACAAATGCGAGTATATGTATTTCTTTAGAACCCATTCTTTCTTAATCCTTTTGAGCTCCCCTTTAGAAATGCACTGATCACGACCGCCGTCTTAGAAATCAAAGCGACAAAACCCTTCCATATTTATCTCTGCCAAAAGCAAAGTCAACTGTTTGATTCCGACTATATCACGAGGATGTGTTTATGAATCACTATCAAATATAATAGTGATGATACCAGGTGTTCGCGAAAAGGTGAGCGTATCCTGCCACACCGATGACACCAGTCACAAACACAAGTAGAGGCAAGTCAATTCTTCGCCTGAAACTAATACAGGAACATATGGAACAAGTCGAACTAAGGAATCATTTTTGGCACTAATGCGTCAAATTTGGAAATGTCCTCCACGTGTCTACCATAAACCTTCTTGAAAACTTTACTGTAGGCCTTGAATCTTTTAGCCTTGATCAAACAACTTCTAAACAAGAGACGTATGACGCTCATTGAAATCTTGGTAGAAATGCTCGATTTTACCTCAAAAGTTGTGAAGTGTAGACGTCAAGGGCTTGAGCTGCAGGAAAACAACAATTGTCAAATAACGTCAATACTCTTCAGCTATGACGTCGTTTCTTGTGGGACGCCCTTACGTCACAATAAGATTCGAATGACGTCAACAATGCCGTCTGGATGACGGAAACAATACACTGTTGTCTCGTGACGTTATATGACCCTAGGGCACATATGGTTTTTATGAACCCCGATATGTTTGCCCTCGTAGGTAATAAATATAGAATACTAAACGAGCTCCCGTGTAATACCAATTTTATGAAACGTGTGAATAGTTCTGGTATCCGACGAGCGAAAATTGGTTTTACACGGGAGCGAGTTTAGTATTTTATTTATTACTGGCCATTTATAACGTTTTTAGAATTATACTGTTGAGTGTGAATAGGCTGACATCTACACGATCCACGGCATAATCCAACTGAGTTTAACACAGTAATACTTCAAATACGTCAAAAGTTGAAACGTATGAATTTAATTCAGGCGTCCGTTCCACAAAATTATCGTAGCGTTAAGGTTATCGCAACTCATATACTTTAACTTAGACCAACGACTGTCGTTGCGCTACCGTACGATCGCCTTGTGGAACGGGGCCTTGCACCTCAAAGTTTACAATCACGTCACAATACCCGATGACGTAATTTGTGGAATTTTGTTGCAAGATCCTACGGCGAAACAATGCCATGTGACGTCAACCTAGCAACATGGTTGCTGGGGTCACCGAGTGTGCATAAGCTCCTCTCAGTGATCTATCATCTCCACACGCAATGTCGTTGAATAAGCCAAGGGATGTTGAGAGCTTTCAATATTTGTTCGTGAAACGTGTTCCGAGATTACATAAGCACGCGTTTTGGTATTACACAATGTGTAATACAGCTGTATGTTTATTAAACGGGTGATCTCTTCACGGGCAAGTAATAAAAAGAATAATTACACAATTGTTATTGTGTTGTCAGCAGGCGAATAAGTCTTCCTCGGCCAGCAAGAAAAAGAAGAAAAAGGAGAAGGATAGTCTGGGACTGAGCACGTCTCCTTCACTCAGCCCCTCCGCCCAGCTCCTCCTCAGCCTGGCCACCCCGGCCTGCAAACACCCCAAGATACCCGGGATAGAAGATGACGAGGATTCCAAGGCATTCTACTCGGTATGTAAAGATTGACATTCTACACGGTATGTACAGATTCACATTCTACACGGTATGTACAGATTGACATTCTACACAGTATGTAAAGATTGACATTCTACACGGTATGTACAGATTGACATTCTACACGGTATGTACAGATTCACATTCTACACGGTATGTATAGATTCACATTCTACACGATATGTACAGATTGACATTCTACACGGTATGTACAGATTGACATTCTACACGGTATGTACAGATTCACATTCTACACAGTATGTAAAGATTGACATTCTACATGGTATGTACAGACTGACATTCCACATAGAATGTACAGATTCACATTCTACACGGTATGTACAGATTCACATTCTACACAGTATGTTTCTGGTGTCCCCCGCCGTGATATTGCTGGAATATTGCTAAAAGCGGCGTAAAACCAAACTCAGTCAGTCTACACAGTATGTACAGATTGACATTCTACACTGTATGTACAGACTCACATTCTACACGGTACGTACAGATTCACATTCTACACTGTATGTACAGATTGACATTCTACACGGTATGTACAGATTCACATTCTACGCGGTATGTACAGATTCACATTCTACACGGTATGTACAGATTCACATTCTACGCGGTATGTACAGATTCACATTCTATACGGTATGTACAGATTCACATTCTACACAGTATGTACAAATTCACATTTTACACAGTATGTACAGATTGACATTCTACACAATATTTACAGATTGACATTCTACACGGTATGTACAGATTCACATTCTACACGGTATGTACAGATTCACATTCTACACTGTATGTACAGACTCACATTCTACACGGTATGTACAGATTGACATTCTACACAGTACGTACAGATTGACATTCTACACGGTATGTACAGATTGACATTCTACACGGTATGTACAGATTCACATTCTACACGGTATGTACAGATTGACATTCTACACGGTATGTACAGATTCACATTCTACGCAATATGTACAGACTCACATTCTACACGGTATGTACAGATTCACATTCTACACGGTATGTACAGATTGACATTCTACACTGTATGTACAGATTGACATTCTACACGGTATGTACAGATTCACATTCTACGCGGTATGTACAGATTGACATTCTACAAAGTATGTACAGATTGACATTCTACGCAGTATGTACAGATTCACATTCTACACGGTATGTACAGATTGACATTCTACACAGTATGTACAGATTGACATTCTACACAGTATGTACAGACTCACATTCTACACGGTATGTACAGACTCACATTCTACACAGTATGTACAGATTGACATTCTACACGGTATGTACAGATTGACATTCTACACGATATGTACAGATTCACATTCTACACAGTATGTACAGACTGACATTCTACAAAGTATGTACAGATTGACATTCTACACGGTATGTACAGATTGACATTCTACACGGTATGTACAGATTCCCAATCTACACAATATGTACAGATTGACATTCTACACGGTATGTACAGATTCACATTCTACTCAGTATGTACAGATTCACATTCTACACGGTATGTACAGACTCACATTCTACACTGTATGTACAGACTCACATTCTACACGGTATGTACAGATTGACATTCTACACAGTATGTACAGACTCACATTCTACACTGTATGTACAGACTCACATTCTACACTGTATGTACAGACTCACATTCTACACTGTATGTACAGACTCACATTCTACACTGTATGTACAGACTCACATTCTACACTGTATGTACAGACTCACATTCTACACAGTATGTACAGATTGACATTCTACACAGTATGTACAGACTCACATTCTACACAGTATGTAAAGATTGACATTCTACAAAGTATGTACAGATTGACATTCTACACTGTATGTACAGACTCACATTCTACACAGTATGTAAAGATTGACATTCTACAAAGTATGTACAGATTGACATTCTACACGGTATGTACAGATTCACATTCTACACTGTATGTACAGACTCACATTCTACACCGATGTACAGACTCACATTCTACACTGTATGTACAGACTCACATTCTACACTGTATGTACAGACTCACATTCTACACTGTATGTACAGACTCACATTCTACACTGTATGTACAGACTCACATTCTACACAGTATGTACAGACTCACATTCTACACAGTATGTAAAGATTGACATTCTACATGGTATGTACAGATTGACATTCTACACGGTATGTACAGATTCACATTCTACAAAGTATGTACAGATTGACATTCTACACGGTATGTACAGATTCACATTCTACGCGGTATGTACAGATTCACATTCTACACTGTATGTACAGATTCACATTCTACACTGTATGTACAGATTGACATTCTACACAGTATGTACAGATTCACATTCTAAGCGGTATGTACAGATTGACATTCTACACGGTATGTACAGATTGACATTCTACGCGGTATGTACAGATTGACATTCTACAAAGTATGTACAGATTCACATTCTACGCAGTATGTACAGATTCACATTCTACACAGTATGTACAGATTCACATTCTACACGGTATGTACAGATTGACATTCTACACTGTATGTACAGATTGACATTCTACACGGTATGTACAGATTCACATTCTACACGGTATGTACAGATTGACATTCTACACTGTATGTACAGACTCACATTCTACACAGTATGTAAAGATTGACATTCTACAAAGTATGTACAGATTGACATTCTACACTGTATGTACAGACTCACATTCTACACAGTATGTAAAGATTGACATTCTACAAAGTATGTACAGATTGACATTCTACACGGTATGTACAGATTCACATTCTACACTGTATGTACAGACTCACATTCTACACAGTATGTAAAGATTGACATTCTACATGGTATGTACAGATTGACATTCTACACGGTATGTACAGATTGACATTCTACACTGTATGTACAGATTGACATTCTACACGGTATGTACAGATTCACATTCTACGCGGTATGTACAGATTGACATTCTACACTGTATGTACAGACTCACATTCTACACGGTATGTACAGATTCACATTCTACAAAGTATGTACAGATTGACATTCTACACAGTATGTACAGATTCACATTCTACACGGTATGTACAAATTCACATTCTACAAAGTATGTACAGATTCACATTCTACACGGTATTGATAATTGACTTTCTACACAGTATGTACAGATTCACATTCTACACAGTATGTACAGATTCACATTCTACACAGTATGTACAGATTGACATTCTACACAATATGTACAGATTGACATTCTACACGGTATGTACAGATTCACATTCTACGCCGTTTGTACAGATTCACATTCTACACAGTATGTACAGATTCACATTTTACACAGTATGTACAGATTGACATTTTACACGGTATGTACAGATTCACATTCTACACGGTATGTACAAATTGACATTCTACGCCGTTTGTACAGATTCACATTCTACGCCGTTTGTACAGATTCACATTCTACACAGTATGTACAGATTCACATTTTACACGGTATGTACAGATTGACATTTTACACGGTATGTACAGATTCACATTCTACACGGTATGTACAGATTGACATTCTACGCCGTTTGTACATTGCGTATGTAACATTCGTGTAACACCCACCCTGTCTGGAGGCCAGAAAGAGGATATCATTATGTTAGGTTTGTTGGGTGTGGTGGGTAACATCCTCGAAGTGTGTCAATGTTGGCAGAAAGAAACAGTCCACTGTATAGACTATCTCACAGTCCCTGAACCATATTATTTTCCCTTCCGCCTACTGTCATGCAAAATGCCCTAAATGAAGCATGTCTAGATTTTCCGCAGGTTCTGAATCTCCCATCTCAGTGGATCTCCTTTCAATTAAAATAGTTATTTGATTCTAGAGAGACTAAGCGTTAGTCTAGTAACTGTAATGGAGGCAAATTATTGTCTGTGAAGACAATGAGGTACTAATGTATGTTTCCAGCGATTGTTGCGTCTGTGAAGACAATCATGATGTATGTATGTGTCCAGTGATTGTTGCGTCTGTGAAGACAATCATGATGTATGTATGTGTCCAGTGATTGTTGCGTCTGTGAAGACAATCATGATGTTTGTATGTTTCCAGAAAGTGGCGGAAGCGTTTCCAACCATGAGGTTGTCTGATGTCTTGGAAGCAGAAAAGAAGTTCCTAGCTGCTGACAAAGATCACAATGGGGTTAGTGCCTACACACACAGGATAGTGATGGTGTTCTGGGGTTGCAGTGAGAGGGGTTCTGATGTTGTCCTGGGGTTGCAGTGAGAGGGGTTCTGATGGTTTTCTGGGGTTACAGTGAGAGGGGTTCTGATGGTGTTCTTGGCTGCAGTGAGAGGGGTTCTGATGGTGTTCTGGGGTTGCAGTGAGAGGGGTTCTGATGGTGTTCTGGGGTTGCAGTGAGAGGGGTTCTGATGGTGTTCTGGGGTTACAGTGAGAAGGGTTCTGATGGTGTTCTGGGGTTGCAGTGAGAGGGGTTCTGATGGTGTTCTGGGGTTGCAGTGAGAGGGGTTCTGATGGTGTTCTAGGGTTGCAGTGAGAAGGGTTCTGATGGTGTTCTGGGCTGCAGTGAGGGGGGTTCTGATGGTGTTCTGGGGTTGCAGGGAGAAGTGTTCTGATGGTGTTCTGGGCTGCAGTGAGAAGGGTTCTGATGGTGTTTTGGGCTGCAGTGAGAAGGGTTCTGATGGTGTTCTGGGGTTGCAGTGAGAGGGGTTCTGATGGTGTTCTGGGGTTGCAGTGAGAAGGGTTCTGATGGTGTTCTGGGCTGCAGTCAGAGGGGTTCTGATGGTGTTCTGGTGTTGCAGTGAGAAGGGTTCTGATGGTGTTCTGGGCTGCAGTGAGAAGGGTTCTGATGGTGTTCTGGGCTGCAGTGAGAAGGGTTCTGATGGTGTTCTGGGGTTGCAGTGAGAGGGGTTCTGATGGTGTTCTGGGGTTGCAGTGAGATGGGTTCTGATGGTGTCCTGGGCTGCAGTGAGAGGGGTTCTGATGGTGTCCTGGGCTGCAGCGAGATGGGTTCTACTGGTGTTCTGGGCTGCAGCGAGAGGGGTTTTGATGGTGTTCTGGGGTTGCAGTGAGAGGGGTTCTGATGGTGTTTGGGGTTGCAGTGAGAGGGGTTCTGATGGTGTTCTGGGGTTGCAGTGAAAGGGGTTCTGATGGTGTTCTGGGGTTGCATTGAGAAGGGTTTTGATGGTGCTCTGGGGTTGCAGTGAGAGGGGTTCTGATGGTGTCCTGGGCTGCAGTGAGAGGAGTTCTGATGGTGTTCTGGGGCTGCAGGGGGTGGGGTTGTAGTGATGGTGTTTGGGGTTGCAGTGAGAGGGGTTCTGATGGTGTTCTGGGCTGCAGTGAGAAGGGTTCTGATGGTGTTCTGGGCTGCAGTGAGAAGGGTTCTGATGGTGTTCTGGGGTTGCAGTGAGAGGGGTTCTGATGGTGTTCTGGGGTTGCAGTGAGATGGGTTCTGATGGTGTCCTGGGCTGCAGTGAGAGGGGTTCTGATGGTGTCCTGGGCTGCAGCGAGATGGGTTCTACTGGTGTTCTGGGCTGCAGCGAGAGGGGTTTTGATGGTGTTCTGGGGTTGCAGTGAGAGGGGTTCTGATGGTGTTTGGGGTTGCAGTGAGAGGGGTTCTGATGGTGTTCTGGGGTTGCAGTGAAAGGGGTTCTGATGGTGTTCTGGGGTTGCATTGAGAAGGGTTTTGATGGTGCTCTGGGGTTGCAGTGAGAGGGGTTCTGATGGTGTCCTGGGCTGCAGTGAGAGGAGTTCTGATGGTGTTCTGGGGCTGCAGGGGGTGGGGTTGTAGTGATGGTGTTTGGGGTTGCAGTGAGAGGGGTTCTGATGGTGTTCTGGGGTTGCAGTGAGAGGGGTTCTGATGGTGTTCTGGGGTTGCATTGAGAAGGGTTTTGATGGTGCTCTGGGGTTGCAGTGAGAGGGGTTCTGATGGTGTCCTGGGCTGCAGTGAGAGGAGTTCTGATGGTGTTCTATGGTTGCAGGGGGTGGGGTTGTAGTGATGGTGTTTGGGGTTGTAGTGAGAGGGGTTCTGATGGTGTTCTGGGTCTGATGGTGATCTGGGGTTGCAGTGAGAGGGGTTCTGATGGTGTTCTGGGTCTGATGGTGTTCTGGGGTTGCAGCGAGAGGGGTTCTGATGGTGTTCTGGGGTTGCATTGAGAAGGGTTTTGATGGTGCTCTGGGGTTGCAGTGAGAGGGGTTCTGATGGTGTCCTGGGCTGCAGTGAGAGGAGTTCTGATGGTGTTCTATGGTTGCAGGGGGTGGGGTTGTAGTGATGGTGTTTGGGGTTGTAGTGAGAGGGGTTCTGATGGTGTTCTGGGTCTGATGGTGATCTGGGGTTGCAGTGAGAGGGGTTCTGTTGGTGCTCTGGGTTGCAGTGAGAGGGGTTCTGATGGTGTCCTGGGGTTGCAGTGAGAGGGGTTCTGATGGTGTTCTGGGGTTGCAGTGAGAGGGGTTCTGATGGTATTCTGGGTTGCAGGTAATTGATGTGGATGAGCTAGACCGAGTGCTGATAGTGAGCGTGACGGTGTTCACCCCCGGCAAGGTCGAGGAGATCCTCAAGGAGATGGACACAGACGGGAGTGGAACCATCGAGTTCCTGGAGGCTCTCAGTGTAAGTAATGGCGAATCCTGTATGTGTTGTCATAGAAACGCAACCTTAACATCTTAAGGTGAATGTTTGCGCTTTTCTCAATCAAATCAAAGTTGCCGTTGTCAAAGTTGCGTTCATTGTTTTGAATTTTGAAAAAAAGGGGGAATCATATAATAGGGCAATTTCTCCACCTCCGGTCTGTTAAATCTAAATCGTTAAGGTTGATCCATTATTAACGTTCTGAATGAAGAGATACGCTCTGGGTGTGTCATGGCGGACCTGGTGTCTGGTGTCTATACAATACTCCTCCAGCAGTGAACAGGCTCCTCGTGTCCCGCATGTCCCGCATGTCGCGTGGGTGAGGCACGCGGCGCGGTGGAGTTTGTCCATGGGGTTGATGTAGGGAGTTCCTGACGGCCATTACAACACGAGCATCAACACAGACTGGACTTGACAGGCAGGCATGTTTTCACCATATTAAAACACAATCGATCGATGCACAGCAGAGGGCTTGCATGGCGCTGGCAGCAGAGCTGGAAGGTCTGCATTGTGAGTGGGGGATTTGGGGGTTTCGTCAGCGCTATGGCAGCTGAAGTAGGTGTTTAAGAGCGGTTTCCCGTCCGACTTATATCCCTGGTACCAGCCATTGTGTCCCCCGATCCCCAAAGGGAAACTGGTCTGCTGGGTTTTTGACATACACCAGCATTCACAGAATCACAGAGTTTCGCCACAGAGATTCTAGGCGATACACAAACAAGTACAACATTCTAATTCTTTTCAATTGTGAATGGTGTCTCTCTGGACAACTCAAAACTGTTTATTCATAAACTTTAATGTAAATCAAGACATTCGCCGCAACCACGATGAACAATATGAATCCGATTCAATTTGAAAATGACTGAACAATGTTAGAGTAGCCAAACAAACCACCCGTGTCATTCCGGGGAAAGTCCCAGTGTGCACGGAAAGGCACGAAACGAGACGAGTGTATGCATATTGTTTCCGAGTGTTAAACGTCAACCGGAGTTCACGTAAGCCCCCACATCATATCTCGGAGGTGAATGCGGTGCCGTGTGTACAGATACGAAATCTGACCAGAGTAAATCAATGTAAGCTGTCTCTGTCACGACGAGAGATGTTGTCAGCCGTTCATTATAATTTGTCTTCGCCAGATTGCTCTGTAATGGCGATTCACCAGATTAAACTAGAATAACTGAACTGAAACGATTTTCCAAACGACCGTAGGGACAACAAGAATAACAGGCGTTGTGACATCATCATATGCAACCTCGCCAATCCACAGCGACCCCCCTCCCCCCTCCCCTGGGCTTACTGGCCCCGGAGTCAGCGCATACACGTGCATGGATCGATAGCCACCAGTCGCATCAGTCCGAAAACATTTGTTACGATCGCCTACAGCTGATAGAGACATTGTAACCATGGGAACCTTGGTTATTTCAGAACAATAACATATTTATTGGTGTTAGCGATATTGAATCAATATACTGCAATGGCCAGGGACAATGGTGTATTGGTCTATTATATACGAGTGCTAGTAAAGCCGACTGCATGCTACTTTATTGGTGTGACTTTGGCGATCTACTGATGCTATTGTAAAACACTGCTTTGAAAATATCATTTTATGCAGGTTTTGAACACCTCCAGGGCCTCATTGTTCGCGTTAAAATGATTATAGCCAAGCACCTGTTCGAGCAATATTGTTTTAAACTGGGTATTATTATATGTGTTGGCTACGGACGATGCCATTGCCTTACGTCTAATGTTATTTGGAATTGTTTAGGGCGGTTGTTGGATCGTGAGGGGATTGTTGATACCCACTTTCTTCATCACTAGTCCAGTTGTGTGACGGCCATCTGTGAACACTCGAATCTTGAGCGGACAAACCAGTGGTTGTGGGCGCGAAGACACACAATTCGCAAGACTACACAATAACCAACCGATTCCCATTTCTGTCTGCTCTTACGACCTGGGGGCAAGGGTCCTGTTCTACACAGACCAGCTTTAGGAAATAAATCAGGACATCTTTCCCCTGACCTTTCCAGTACCAGGAAAGACTGCGTTTGCTAGTGATGACACCCCAACCGATGTCTGTCCGGGAAAGAACAATGGTTCTCCTCGAATATTCCGTGTGTTGTATCTACTTTTTATCGTGGGATAAATATCCTGGATCCATTCGCTATCAGAGCTTCGATTTAGGCACGAAAAACAACAATTAGCATCCTTGTAAGTGCAGTGTGTTATATCAGATGCAATATTGGCTATTGGTGAGAAAAGTATGGGTTCTTAACTGTTCAGGGTCCCGTTCCACCAAGCGATCTTAGCGCTAAGATGATCGTAACGCCCATTCTTTAATATAAGCTTACGAAAGTCGTGGCTCTACGATAGCTTTGTGGTACGGGTCCCAGTTTGTTAAAGCCAAATACATAGCGTCTTCAGTTGCCATGGGTACTGGTCGGGAAGTCGACGGGGTAAATGAAATACACGCAGGGGTTACCAAACGGCGGCTTTACCAGAGGCAGTGTAAGGTGTGCCACTCTCGGCTGGGCGGATGTCATCCCTGGTCCTGTTTTCAGGTGATGGAGAAACTATCCCACAACCGGCGGATAAACCTACCGGATCAGGTAAAGCACCAACAGGGGAAGGTCTGCTCCGTCCAATGATGGCGTGAAGACAGCGCGCAAATAAATGTTTGAGATATATATATTGGAACTCGTTTTTTTGTTGTTCGCAAAGCACAACGGGGGTATTAATCCTAATCACATTAATGTGGGGGTCTCTGTGAACCAGCATAGAGCCTACTGATGGACGGCCACACTATGGTCTGGTGACCACACGTCGGACATCCAGCCAGATCAACAGTGTCACATCGTGTCCAAGCAAAATGGGAATGATAACTTCCGTTCTACTCCCAAACGAGGCACCAATATGAGTGAATTAGGTGTTGTATGTTTCTAACCAATATGAAGTGTGCGACCCAGAGGCTTAGTTCCCGCTTGTTTCTGGAAAAACATGAGTCAGTGAGTGAAGTAGGTCTCATTTGTTTGACCAATATGCAGCCATGCTGGCTCCCACCAACATCCTTTTTAGCTAACAAAACACATTACAACAGGCTAGTTGCAACAGCATCGACTTTATTCACAATCATATGGACTAGTGCACCTGTAGCTCTCCCCTCCACGTGAGTCACATGACCATTCGTTGTCTGCCACGCCCCCACTGCAGTACAGTGGCACCTGACCACGTGGTCGGTCCGCTGTGTGGCAGTGTGACAAAAACCTTTATAACAGAACCTAACAGCATTTATGTGTTTTTCCTAACTTGAATACACTTTTAATGTAAGTCTGGCTAGTGGCGGACAAGGCCTGGAATAACATGACCACTTGTTTAATAACAGTTACATGAGTGGAATATCAAAGATGCACACATACAATATAATTAAACCGGAGCCTTAGAACTTCATGCATTGAAACCCCTACATACATGGTTATTTTATGGCTTGGAGAGTATGAAGACGTAGCCCTGAAGGGTACATAATTCAGGACGCATGTAAATTCAACTGACTGACAATGTTAAGTACGTGTCACTGTTATTTTCAAGCTCCATTTTGGTAGATGTCCATAAAGTTTAATAAAATGTGTTACAAAAAGTTATTCAAATATTATTTTTTATATAAAAAGCATAAATCGTATAAAAGTGTACTGATTATGAAATAGTGCTAATTGACTTCCACCTGCATAATTAGCATTAATTTGAACTACTTGCAAACAAAACAAATAACAATAACACATAAACATAAAAAAGCAATGGACATTCAAACTTGATATAGCAATAAGCCTGTATGGCCATTCAAGCGTTGTGATAGCCAATTCAATCCAACACAATGTCTGAAATTGCATCCAAAGTGTTATGAAACGACCTCACAATTACAACACAACTACATCTTTTGTGAGAGCTGTCCATGGGCTGAATTATTATTTCAAAGCACTGACAATAAAACATAGCATATTCAAAAACAACTATCACAGCTATACAAGTTAATTAGGTGCGGCAATAAATAAATACTATATTAGTTTCAAACAGATTTACCAAACCTGGAATTATGCTGTTCAACTGGAATAAAATGCACCAAATAAAAAGTGAATTTTACAATATTACATATTCCCTATTTGAGATGCCAAGCTGACAATGCCCCAGAATTGTTTTGATTTCACAGTAAAATGCATCCATGAGTCCGTGTCGGGGAGGGAGGGGGTGACAGGATGTATCTCCTCCTTCAAAGTATTTGATTATATTTGATGAAACGCTTTATTTGCATCATGAAGAGTGAGTGAGAGAGTTGGGTTCTACACCAGTAATATCATGGCAGGGACACCAGAAATGGGCTTCACACATTGTACCCATGTAGGGATTTGAACCCAGCTCTACCACATTACGAGTCAACACTTTGCCCATTTGGCCCCACCACCCCATTGGAAGTCAGAGAGATTCCTGATTACCATCCAAACTATTCCAAGGTGCCTCCTGTTGCATTGGTGTTACATCGATAAGTTGAGCCAAGACTCCACCTCCATAGGATCCCAAACACACTGGATGCCTGGATATTTGAAATAAATGCACTCACATTTTTTATTGGCAGTTAGACCTTGGATGAATATGATCACATCAGTGTTCAGTTGAAGGAGGGCAAGAAATAGCCCTGGTCCTTAGTCACAAATGATAAAAAACATTGCTGTCCATAGTTCCATGTCAAAGTGACACCAGACATGATACATGGGCAATATAGTATTATCACAGAAATTATTCGAAGGAGTCTTGTCAACACATATCAAAGTGAAAAAACACCAAGTTCATCAAAAGTTACCAGTTGAGTAGCTTGATTCAATTATTTCCAAACTTGGAAGCTATACAAAATGACAATAAATCTATTAATGCCAAGCAAATGCATTTACAAATTTATGTTCCAACTTACACAAATTAGTTTTGTAACCAACAGTTATTTCTTAGGCCTTCAAAAACGTGTCTTTAGAGTATCCATTACTTTGTCCGACTGGTCACCTGTCCATGCACTCGGACTCCTATATACCTGTATGTGTACACCGAGTGTGGTCAGGAGCATGCACTCGGACTCCTATATACCTGTATGTGTACACCGAGTGTGGTCAGGAGCATGCACTCGGACTCCTATATACCTGTATGTGTACACCGAGTGTGGTCAGGAGCATGCACTCGGACTCCTATATACCTGTATGTGTACACCGAGTGTGGTCAGGAGCATGCACTCGGACTCCTATATACCTGTATGTGTACACCGAGTGTGGTCAGGAGCATGCACTCGGACTCCTATATACCTGTATGTGTACACCTTGTATGTGTACACCGAGTGGGGTCAGGAGCATGCAGTCATGAAAATCAAAACGTTTTAGTTTGGGACATACAAAAAAGATCAAAGAGTACACTACTATCTAACAGATTTCTGGAGAAAACCAAGGGTCTGAGATCATGCATATTCAACAACCCGAATGCATAACAAGATAATATATATATAATAAGGTAGGAAACAAACAAATCTGTAACAGCAACACCTTGTAAAAGACATAAACTCACAACTGTGGAATGGTAGGGAAGTAAATAGTACTTCAAATATTTGTTGCTACAATTCCTCATCAATGTCAGTGGTTAGAACACACCCTGAATCCATCTCGTCACACTGTCAACTTCCAGGTACTGAATGATCAAGGTAGGTCTTGACCAAAACCATATCAAAACAGGACCCATCCTAAAGAGTGAGTGAGTTGTTGGGTTTAACGCTGCTTTTAACAGTATTAGTTAAATCGTGGCGTGTCAGCTTAATGTGGGAGGAAAGCCCGATGTGATGCAGGTCTCAGACGTTTACCAGTTCGGTGAAACCCACGAGCACGGGTATGGTGCTGACAAACCTGGAAACATAATCGGGGGGAACCGGGATTCGAACCCACAATCATAGGTTTCTGTGTGCCCAAGGGATGCAACTCTGCACAGTGAATCGTGGCGCCTCAGGACAACTGCCCCCCCCCCCATCCTAAATAAGGTACATACCAAGTCTTAACAAAGTATAGCATCAAACCCTTTATGGCAGTTATTTCTCTCTCGTGACCTTCACCTTCTGACAAAACAATTATCAACAAGAGAGACAGTTCTATGGACATCACTTGCTTGATAATGGTGTTGCTATCTACACCGAAACCGAAACGTGGCAGTCATTGTACTACAGAAGTTGTATATGCATGGAACTCTCTCCTTGTTCATCATGCCAACTCGTACATGCCACCTACAGAAGACAATCATCCATCTTGCTCATTTCTAACATAGTCCATGTTCATATAGAGTTAGTGGCCAAACAAACAGGTTTTTTACACAGTTGACATGCATACCAGGCAATTACTGGTGCTTCGTCAGAGAATGACTGATGTAACCTCCACATGTACGAGAAGTGACTCAGGCAAACATACGAAGCTGGTGTTGTGCAAGTAGGCAATGCATGTGGCCGGGATAGGGACTGGGTATTTATTATACTGCGTGCTACGGGGTCACAAGTCAAGTACCTCCTGGATATCAGGCCTGACCTGCTGTAAGTGTTGACAACACAATGATAATTATGTACACAAAATTAACTAGTAACATTTGGCTGTTTTGTGAGTATAGATTATGGCAAATATTGGACTAACAGGGTACAAATATCAAACATTCCTGCAGTAATTGTGACATTCACAGCACACACATCCAACTCCATCATAGCATTCAGTCATATATAAATCCTCAAATCCTCACCATCCTATTTCCACCGTCATGGAAATGTTATCTTATCTACAAAAAATCTAAGCTACTGCAAAAAAACAGATTTCCAAATTTTCTTAGTTCAAAATATATCACTTTGGTCTCTTAATCTTGATTTTAGTGAAGATGTGTTTTTAAAAAAAACAAAAAACAAATATGCTACCATGTAGTCGATGTTTCTGTAGATCAACTGGAAAAGCCTGATAACCAATGGGATATGGTGGTCACATTCCCTGCCTCGGTGGATGCTTTTCACTGTATCCCAGTTGCATAGATCGATGTTCAGAATGTCAGTCACTGAATTGTATGCTCCATTCTGGATTATTTACAGACCGCTGTCATATAGCTTGAATATTGTTGAGTGCAGCGTTAAACAACAGACAAATAAACTCTGAAATCATCATTATTACTATGCTTACAGATAAACATAATTTTATGTTGTTTCCATGGATTAACTTTTAGAGTTTACAAATGGGCCAGGTGGATTATAATTTTTTTTTTAAATTAACCACCAAACCTTGCATCACCTGTGCGAGGACACGTCCCTTGATACAGACATGTACTGTATGCATTCTGGTTCATGTACAACACTTTCACGTTACCATGGCTACAGGATCATCTTTCGTTGAAGTTGAAGGAAAACAGCAGACAAGGAAATAGCAAATTCCTAACACACATAGAACATGCTGTAAAAATATCTCTCTTTGTAGACAACACATACACCAAGTACTTGGTGGTTGGAAACTGAAATGAAATATGCACTTTGTAAATGGAAGGTCAACGACATCACATGCCATGTATGGTTTCAACTGCAGGCCAAAAGAGGAAAGAAAAGTTTCAATTCTTTCTGGCTTATATAAGTCTCACCTGTACTACACAGACTGAGCTTTACACCCTACGTTGGCCCCATACATGGCCTGTGTGGCATCGTGTATAATGCTGACTTCATTTGATTTTAATTCATCTGTTATATAAGGCCACAACAAATTAACTTTCCATCAAAAGTGAGATGGGAAGCGGTTTATCCCGTACATTATGTTTTCCTGGATATGTATTTCCTGTAGGGAAACAGACCTGTGGAAATACAGCATGTGGTAGACGAAATCAAGGATGGTGGACAGTGAAGAAAACAACATATTCATCATGCTCATCAATCATGTCAACACAGCCTACTGTTTTGTTTCACAATAATTTCTTAAGTTTCAGTGGGTAGTGCAACAATATGAGCACAGAATAATCTCGACTGTCCAACCCTACACACACAATATCCCTGTAACACATATTACACACATGACATCTGGACAACAGCACACATTAAATCCTGAAGACACACATTAAACACACTATATCTGGATAATATTACATCCTCAAGATATCCTGAAGACACACATTACATACACACACTAAGTTTGGATAATAACACACATGATCTGATCTGATGAGATCTGATGAGATCTGATTGTTCAAAGTGATCTTGATAAAATACTATGTATCCCACTTTGGAGGGAAATAAATTGCTCAGCGAGAGAAAAAATCCCTTATACCCCGCCACGAACAAGACAGATTTCTGAGAGGCAGAATAAATCTCATATATCCAGCTTTGAAGCAAAAAGCCGCAGGCTTTTTACAAGTCAATGAAAGTCATGTAACATAGCACAAGTTAACTTCAGCTCATACAAACAGCTGTTTTCTATCAGTTTTGAATTTGTCTTAATTCTTTTACAATGTCATATTAAAAGATGTCAGAAAGATAAATTTGTTGTAGCAGTTTCACAAAGGGTACATGTGGTTTCATGCGTCCCGTGTTTGGTTTTATACCACTAGCCTCCTGCTCATGGCATAAAACCTAAGGCGGGACGCACGAAACCACATATATCCCCCGTGATACTGCTATAACTTCTACTATAACCTGAAGACATGCATTACACACACTATGTCTGGAGAGTTACACACATCATATCCTGAAGACACACATGACATGCAACATAGTAACAGCAACAATGCAGATGTGTGAACACACCAAGCACCTGTCACACACAATTAAACTTAATGTACAATTCTCAACGTAAGAAAGAAAATACCCCTGGTGTATCCACACAGTCTCCTACTGATACAAAGCAGCTGTTTCTTGCTTTTGTACTTCTCGGAGTCTGAGCATAGTAACCAATGTAGCCACAGATCACGCTACAAAGCTCTTGTGATTGTTCTTAAACAAGATATATAACAGTGGAACTAACACAAGCACTGTGGATAAATATGCAGAAAACATCTTCCAAATGAGTTGACACTTGAACAGGCAACTTCTAATATCACTTTTGAGCAACAGAAATACGATGCAGGGTAAACTACAGCTGATCTTCCCCTGATAACGTCAGCAGAGACAAGCTCGGGTTTCTGATTATAAGTACACTGAACCTTGGTTCCTGAAGTCCAACATACACTCTCTGGGTGACTAGCTCTCCTCTGTTGGCAATCACTGGCTAAAGGTGCAAATTCCATAATTTGTCGATGGGACACTCGGGTGCAGTGGTTGGATCATGCATCTTGACTGAGCTGAATGAAGCTGATTGGCTCCTGTGCCAGTCTGTCGGTCTCCGATTCGCTGGGTGCTGCAGATGGTCCTTCCTCCTCTGGCTGCAGATCGGCTCCATCCATCGGCTCGTATCCCTGGGGCTCCCTGCTCTCCAGATAACGAAGGGCTCTATAAACACACAAATACATCCTCAACAAGTCATCAACAAGTAGTGAGTTGTTAATATATCTCACAGCATCGGCTCAGTTAGGAAATAACAAAACAACTTCATGTCTTTGAGCCGACACGTCTGCAAAACTGTTCCCATGCTGTGAATGAGCGAGTGAGTGAGATTAACACTGGAAAATATGTCAATCAGATGAGCATGTTTCTGGTGTTAACAAACATACAGACATAATCATGGCAAACTGGGAGGATTAGAACCAGTGATCATAGGTTCCTGGCATGCCAAAGGGATGCAACTCTGCACAGTGAACTGCTGGGCCACCCGTGTCCCCCTGGTGTGAACTACCTGCCACCGAGTGATGTACTTACATCGTGAACCCCATCGGCAGACACATCAAGATGATGTACTTACACTGTGAACCCCATCGGCAGACACAGCAAGATGATGTACTTACATCGTGAACCCCATCGGCAGACACAGCAAGATGATGTACTTACACTGTGAACCCCATCGGCAGACACAGCAAGATGATGTACTTACACTGTGAACCCCATCGGCAGACACAGCAAGATGATGTACTTACATCGTGAACCCCATCGGCAGACACAGCAAGATGATGTACTTACACTGTGAACCCCATCGGCAGACACAGCAAGATGATGTACTTACACTGTGAACCCCATCGGCAGACACAGGAAGATGATGTACTTACACTGTGAACCCCATCGGCAGACACAGCAAGATGATGTACTTACACTGTGAACCCCATCGGCAGACACAGCAAGATGATGTACTTACACTGTGAACCCCATCGGCAGACACAGGAAGATGATGTACTTACATCGTGAACCCCATCGGCAGACACAGCAAGATGATGTACTTACATTGTGAACCCCATCGGCAGACACAGGAAGATGATGTACTTACACTGTGAACCCCATCGGCAGACACACCAAGATGATGTACTTACACTGTGAACCCCATCGGCAGACACACCAAGATGATGTACTTACATTGTGAACCCCATCTGCAGACACAGGAAGATGATGTACTTACACTGTGAACCCCATCGGCAGACACAGCAAGATGATGTACTTACACTGTGAACCCCATCGGCAGACACAGTAAGATGATGTACTTACACTGTGAACCCCATCGGCAGACACACCAAGATGATGTACTTACATTGTGAACCCTATCGGCAGACACAGCAAGATGATGTACTTACACTGTGAACCCCATCGGCAGACACAGCAAGATGATGTACTTACACTGTGAACCCCATCGGCAGACACACCAAGATGATGTACTTACATTGTGAACCCTATCGGCAGACACAGCAAGATGATGTACTTACACTGTGAACCCCATCGGCAGACACAGGAAGATGATGTACTTACATCGTGAACCCCATCGGCAGACACAGGAAGATGATGTACTTACATTGTGAACCCCATCGGCAGACACAGGAAGATGATGTACTTACACTGTGAACCCCATCGGCAGACACACCAAGATGATGTACTTACACTGTGAACCCCATCGGCAGACACACCAAGATGATGTACTTACATTGTGAACCCCATCGGCAGACACAGGAAGATGATGTACTTACACTGTGAACCCTATCGGCAGACACAGCAAGATGATGTACTTACACTGTGAACCCCATCGGCAGACACAGTAAGATGATGTACTTACACTGTGAACCCCATCGGCAGACACACCAAGATGATGTACTTACATTGTGAACCCTATCGGCAGACACAGCAAGATGATGTACTTACACTGTGAACCCCATCGGCAGACACAGCAAGATGATGTACTTACACTGTGAACCCCATCGGCAGACACACCAAGATGATGTACTTACATTGTGAACCCTATCGGCAGACACAGCAAGATGATGTACTTACACTGTGAACCCCATCGGCAGACACAGGAAGATGATGTACTTACATCGTGAACCCCATCGGCAGACACAGGAAGATGATGTACTTACATTGTGAACCCCATCGGCAGACACAGGAAGATGATGTACTTACACTGTGAACCCCATCGGCAGACACACCAAGATGATGTACTTACACTGTGAACCCCATCGGCAGACACACCAAGATGATGTACTTACATTGTGAACCCCATCGGCAGACACAGGAAGATGATGTACTTACACTGTGAACCCTATCGGCAGACACAGCAAGATGATGTACTTACACTGTGAACCCCATCGGCAGACACACCAAGATGATGTACTTACACTGTGAACCCCATCGGCAGACACACCAAGATGATGTACTTACACTGTGAACCCCATCGGCAGACACAGCAAGATGATGTACTTACATTGTGAACCCCATCGGCAGACACAGCAAGATGATGTACTTACATCGTGAACCCCATCGGCAGACACAGCAAGATGATGTACTTACACTGTGAACCCCATCGGCAGACACAGCAAGATGATGTACTTACATCGTGAATCCCATCGGCAGACACAGCAAGATGATGTACTTACACTGTGAACCCCATCGGCAGACACAGGAAGATGATGTACTTACACTGTGAACCCCATCGGCAGACACAGGAAGATGATGTACTTACACTGTGAACCCCATCGGCAGACACAGCAAGATGATGTACTTACACTGTGAACCCCATCGGCAGACACAGCAAGATGATGTACTTACACTGTGAACCCCATCGGCAGACACAGCAAGATGATGTACTTACACTGTGAACCCCATCGGCAGACACAGCAAGATGATGTACTTACACTGTGAACCCCATCGGCAGACACAGGAAGATGATGTACTTACACTGTGAACCCCATCGGCAGACACAGCAAGATGATGTACTTACACTGTGAACCCCATCGGCAGACACAGCAAGATGATGTACTTACACTGTGAACCCCATCGGCAGACACAGCAAGATGATGTACTTACACTGTGAACCCCATCGGCAGACACAGCAAGATGATGTACTTACAGTGTGAACCCCATCGGCAGACACAGCAAGATGATGTACTTACATCGTGAACCCTATCGGCAGACACAGGAAGATGATGTACTTGCACTGTGAACCCCATCGGCAGACACAGGAAGATGATGTACTTACATCGTGAACCCCATCGGCAGACACAGCAAGATGATGTACTTACACTGTGAACCCCATCGGCAGACACAGCAAAATGATGTACTTACACTGTGAACCCCATCGGCAGACACAGCAAGATGATGTACTTACATTGTGAACCCCATCGGCAGACACAGCAAGATGATGTACTTACACTGTGAACCCCATCGGCAGACACAGCAAGATGATGTACTTACACTGTGAACCCCATCGGCAGACACATCAAGATGATGTACTTACACTGTGAACCCCATCGGCAGACACAGGAAGATGATGTACTTACATTGTGAACCCCATCTGCAGACACAGGAAGATGATGTACTTACATTGTGAACCCCATCGGCAGACACAGCAAGATGATGTACTTACACTGTGAACCCCATCGGCAGACACAGCAAGATGATGTACTTACACTGTGAACCCCATCGGCAGACACATCAAGATGATGTACTTACACTGTGAACCCCATCGGCAGACACAGGAAGATGATGTACTTATATCGTGAACCCTATCGGCAGACACAGGAAGATGATGTACTTACACTGTGAACCCCATCGGCAGACACAGGAAGATGATGTACTTACATTGTGAACCCCATCGGCAGACACAGCAAGATGATGTACTTATATCGTGAACCCCATCGGCAGACACAGCAACATGATGTACTTACACTGTGAATCCCGTTGGCAGACACAGCAAGATGATGTACTTACATCGTGAACCCCATCGGCAGACACAGCAATTTGATGTACTTACACTGTGAACCCCATCGGCAGACACAGGAAGATGATGTACTTATATCGTGAACCCCATGGGCAGACACATCAAGATGATGTACTTACACTGTGAACCCCATCGGCAGACACAGGAAGATGATGTACTTACATCGTGAACCCCATCGGCAGACACATCAAGATGATGTACTTACACTGTGAACCCCATCGGCAGACACAGCAAGATGATGTACTTACACTGTGAACCCCATCGGCAGACACAGCAAGATGATGTACTTACACTGTGAACCCCATCGGCAGACACAGCAAGATGATGTACTTACATTGTGAACCCTATCGGCAGACACAGCAAGATGATGTACTTACACTGTGAACCCTATCGGCAGACACAGCAAGATGATGTACTTACATTGTGAACCCTATCGGCAGACACAGCAAGATGATGTACTTACACTGTGAACCCCATCGGCAGACACAGCAAGATGATGTACTTACACTGTGAACCCCATCGGCAGACACACCAAGATGATGTACTTACATCGTGAACCCCATCGGCAGACACAGCAAGATGATGTACTTATATCGTGAACCCCATCGGCAGACACAGCAAGATGATGTACTTACACTGTGAACCCCATCGGCAGACACAGCAAGATGATGTACTTACACTGTGAACCCCATCGGCAGACAAAGCAAGATGATGTACTTACACTGTGAACCCCATCGGCAGACACAGCAAGATGATGTACTTACATTGTGAACCCCATCGGCAGACACAGGAAGATGATGTACTTACACTGTGAACCCCATCGGCAGACACACCAAGATGATGTACTTACACTGTGAACCCCATCGGCAGACACAGGAAGATGATGTACTTACATCGTGAACCCCATCGGCAGACACAGCAAGATGATGTACTTACACTGTGAACCCCATCGGCAGACACACCAAGATGATGTACTTACATCGTGAACCCCATCGGCAGACACAGCAAGATGATGTACTTACATCGTGAACCCCATCGGCAGACACAGCAAGATGATGTACTTACACTGTGAACCCCATCGGCAGACACAGCAAGATGATGTACTTACACTGTGAACCCCATCGGCAGACACACCAAGATGATGTACTTACACTGTGAACCCCATCGGCAGACACAGGAAGATGATGTACTTACATCGTGAACCCCATCGGCAGACTCAGCAAGATGATGTACTTACACTGTGAACCCCATCGGCAGACACACCAAGATGATGTACTTACACTGTGAACCCCATCGGCAGACACACCAAGATGATGTACTTACACTGTGAACCCCATCGGCAGACACAGGAAGATGATGTACTTATATCGTGAACCCCATCGGCAGACACACCAAGATGATGTACTTACACTGTGAACCCCATCGGCAGACACAGCAAGATGATGTACTTACACTGTGAACCCCATCGGCAGACACAGCAAGATGATGTACTTACATCGTGAACCCCATCGGCAGACACAGCAAGATGATGTACTTACACTGTGAACCCCATCGGCAGACACAGCAAGATGATGTACTTACACTGTGAACCCCATCGGCAGACACAGGAAGATGATGTACTTATATCGTGAACCCTATCGGCAGACACACCAAGATGATGTACTTACACTGTGAACCCCATCGGCAGACACAGTAAGATGATGTACTTACACTGTGAACCCCATCGGCAGACACAGGAAGATGATGTACTTATATCGTGAACCCCATCGGCAGACACAGGAAGATGATGTACTTACACTGTGAACCCCATCGGCAGACACAGGAAGATGATGTACTTACACTGTGAACCCCATCGGCAGACACAGCAAGATGATGTACTTACACTGTGAACCCTATCGGCAGACACAGGAAGATGATGTACTTACATCGTGAATCCTGTAGGCAGACACAGCAGGATGATAGACACGATGAAGACGAAGCCACCAAAATAGTGCAGCGAAGAAGCGTAGATTGCCGTGAAGGTGAACGGAGCCAGGAAGTAAATTATACTCTCCCCACAATGCATCACAGCAAACAGCGACCCTGCAACAAGAGCCGATGTTAGTCACGATCAAAACAGAGCAACATAAATGAAAATATCTTTAAAGGACCAATGATTTTGATTTTCCTGAACAAAATCATTTATACAGTGTTAACCTGTTACCACGGTAATAACAAGAAATAAAATCATGAAGAATAAACGGACCAAATGAGCAAGCAGGAAAAGGGAGTTGGCTGAATGCTGTTTTGAGCTGTATTTGAGTTATACCCTAAAGTTGGAGCAATGTGCTAAACTCAAGATAATCTTTTGGTTATTTGGGTGTTTTACCCACGGGTTTGATTCTCATTGGGAAGCCACAATATTTAGGTATTTACATTATTTTTACCCACTTGTATTTTAACTTGAAAACCTGTTTCATACCAATCCCTGTAAATCCTTTAAAACTAAATGAACAATAGCTTTAACTTCTGCGTCTGGGTGCATCTCCCTCGCCAGGAAGCTGTTGTTGTGTGCAAACCTGGCACTGTGAAAGAGGCACCTTGTTTTAATCACCCGTCAGCTACTGTTTAAGATACACTGACTCAGCATGAGGAAGTTCTACTGACATTGCCCTGCATTAGTTATTATAGAGTCCACATAGTGTCAGAGACACGCTGTAATGTTGTTGTGTGTCTGTGAAACTCTCCCTGTGCGTGACATCGCAAGACAACAAGAAATGACTATGGTCATGAATCCCACCTATACCCGCTCCCTAAACACTTAACAGTAGTGCTGGCTATCGATATAGATCACAGAGATTGATAATCTCTGAGTATCGATCATTTTTCGAAAAATATCAGAGAAGTAACTTCGAGCAAATGTGCAAGAAAGTCCCAAAACTAATCAACATATTTTCCGCCACTGGTGAGTGGTGACATATTTATGCATAGGTTGCTTTGTGGACATTTGAGATATAACCAAAACAGTTGCTTTCCATCTTCGGCAATTGACATGATTGACAATAACAATGTCTGTGTCAAGGAGGGGCCCATTCAGAAGCAATCCCATTCTGGTCCTGTACCTGCCTCACATTGTCACGTTGTCACGCTGTCACGCTGTCACGTTGTCCTGAATCAAAGGACCTGTGTGACAATGTCATCATGCCCCCAGTGTAAGCCGGGGAGGGAGGGAGGGGTGGGCAGAGCAGATAGTCATTGTAGAGAGGGAAGTGCAGTCATGTGTGACAATGTCATCATGCCCCCAGTGTAAGCCGGGGAGGGAGGGAGGGGTGGGCAGAGCAGATAGTCATTGTAGAGAGGGAAGTGCAGTCATGTGTGACAATGTCATCATGCCCCCAGTGTAAGCCGGGGAGGGAGGGGCGGGCAGAACAGATAGTCATTGTAGAGAGGGAAGTGCAGTCATGTGTGACAATGTCATCATGCCCCCAGTGTAAGCCGGGGAGGGAGGGAGGGGTGGGCAGAGCAGATAGTCATTGTAGAGAGGGAAGTGCAGTCATGTGTGACAATGTCATCATGCCCCCAGTGTAAGCCGGGGAGGGCGGGGCGGGCAGAACAGATAGTCATTGTAGAGAGGGAAGTGCAGTCATGTGTGACAATGTCATCATGCCCCCAGTGTAAGCCGGGGAGGGAGGGGCGGGCAGAGCAGATAGTCATTGTAGAGAGGGAAGTGCAGTCATGTGTGACAATGTCATCATGCCCCCAGTGTAAGCCGGGGAGGGAGGGGCGGGCAGAGCAGATAGTCATTGTAGAGAGGGAAGTGCAGTCATGTGTGACAATGTCATCATGCCCCCAGTGTAAGCCGGGGAGGGAGGGGCGGGCAGAGCAGATAGTCATTGTAGAGAGGGAAGTGCAGTCATGTGTGACAATGTCATCATGACCCCAGTGTAAGCCGGGGAGGGAGGGGCGGGCAGAGCAGATAGTCATTGTAGAGAGGGAAGTGCAGTCATGTGTGACAATGTCATCATGCCCCCAGTGTAAGCCGGGAGGGAGGGGCGGGCAGAACAGATAGTCATTGTAGAGAGGGAAGTGCAGTCATGTGTGACAATGTCATCATGCCCCCAGTGTAAGCCGGGGAGGGAGGGGCGGGCAGAGCAGATAGTCATTGTAGAGAGGGAAGTGCAGTCATGTGTGACAATGTCATCATGCCCCCAGTGTAAGCCGGGGAGGGAGGGGCGGGCAGAACAGATAGTCATTGTAGAGAGGGAAGTGCAGTCATGTGTGACAATGTCATCATGCCCCCAGTGTGAGCCGGGGAGGGAGGGGCGGGCAGAGCAGATAGTCATTGTAGAGAGGGAAGTGCAGTCATGTGTGACAATGTCATCATGCCCCCAGTGTAAGCCGGGGAGGGAGGGGCGGGCAGAACAGATAGTCATTGTAGAGAGGGAAGTGCAGTCATGTGTGACAATGTCATCATGCCCCCAGTGTGAGCCGGGGAGGGAGGGGCGGGCAGAACAGATAGTCATTGTAGAGAGGGAAGTGCAGTCATGTGTGACAATGTCATCATGCCCCCAGTGTGAGCCGGGGAGGGAGGGGCGGGCAGAACAGATAGTCATTGTAGAGAGGGAAGTGCAGTCATGTGTGACAATGTCATCATGCCCCCAGTGTAAGCCGGGGAGGGAGGGGCGGGCAGAGCAGATAGTCATTGTAGAGAGGGAAGTGCAGTCATGCCTTGAGGTGTGACGGTACATGTTGCACAGCTGCTAACTTCCTGTTAAGCTGTCACAGATTGTCACGCAGGCAACACAGAGTCAAGTCAAATGTCATTTTTGTGCTGAGAGTCGACTATTGAGGTGAGGTGAAATGGGGTTTAACGTTGTGTCCAAGATTATTGCACTTATATAGCAACCATTTCGAAAAAAATCTTTACTCTGTATAAATTACCACCAAAGACAATAAATAGACCTTAATTGTGCACCCCTCCTTTTCAAAAAAGCTGTATCCGCCCATGACGACGTGCATGCACGTGTGTGTGTTTGTGTATGTGTTTAACATGAATACCCCACTCATACACAGTATACTCCAACCGAACAGTCCTTGTTTTATCCCCTTAATGCCGAGCCAGGCAGGGTAACATCAAGTACCATCTTTGAAATTTTTTTTGGTTGACCCGGCCGGGGATGAAACTCCAGTCCTTCCACTCTCCGAGCTGACGTTCTACCACTTGACCATGGAGGTGGTCAGTCTACTATTGATGAACAGACAGTTACAATGTAATCAGCTGATTGCCGTCATCTTGACCGTACTGCATCTGTAGCTCATGGCTTGTTTGCCTCAATGTTGACAATACAGGATATCACGCAAGTGTGTTCTGGTAAGGTAAATATCCTATATTAGAAATAGGCATTGTATTTAGCAAGCCTTCATCATTGCAAATGCCAGTACTGTACAAGCCTAACAAAACCACATGTTGTTGAAGGTGACTCTATGATGATGTAGACTTGTCAGATCTAACAGCTGAGCCTCTGTGTGCCGGTGACTCGGACAACATGGCTGTCTTGTGAGTCTGTAGGATGACTTAACCCCAGTGACCTGCCCAGCTGACAGGTGTGACAGACAGGTGAGTCTGGGGGATGACTTAACCACAGTGAACTGCCCAGCTGACAGGTGTGACAGACAGGTGAGTCTGGGGGATGACTTAACCACAGTGAACTGCCCAGCTGACAGGTGTGACAGACAGGTGAGTCTGTAGGATGACTTAACCACAGTGAACTGCCCAGCTGACAGGTGTGACAGACAGGTGAGTCTGGGGGATGACTTAACCACAGTGAACTGCCCAGCTGACAGGTGTGACAGACAGGTGAGTCTGGGGGATGACTTAACCACAGTGAACTGCCCAGCTGACAGGTGTGACAGACAGGTGAGTCTGGGGGATGACTTAACCACAGTGAACTGCCCAGCTGACAGGTGTGACAGACAGGTGAGTCTGGGGGATGACTTAACCCCAGTGACCTGCCCAGCTGACAGGTGTGACAGACAGGTGAGTCTGGGGGATGACTTAACCACAGTGAACTGCCCAGCTGACAGGTGTGACAGACAGGTGAGTCTGGGGGATGACTTAACCACAGTGAACTGCCCAGCTGACAGGTGTGACAGACAGGTGAGTCTGTAGGATGACTTAACCACAGTGAACTGCCCAGCTGACAGGTGTGACAGACAGGTGAGTCTGGGGGATGACTTAACCACAGTGAACTGCCCAGCTGACAGGTGTGACAGACAGGTGAGTCTGTAGGATGACTTAACCACAGTGAACTGCCCAGCTGACAGGTGTGACAGACAGGTGAGTCTGTAGGATGACTTTACCCCAGTGATCTGCCCAGCTGACAGGTGTGACAGACAGGTGAGTCTGGGGGATGACTTAACCACAGTGAACTGCCCAGCTGACAGGTGTGACAGACAGGTGAGTCTGGGGGATGACTTAACCACAGTGAACTGCCCAGCTGACAGGTGTGACAGACAGGTGAGTCTGGGGGATGACTTAACCCCAGTGACCTGCCCAGCTGACAGGTGTGACAGACAGGTGAGTCTGGGGGATGACTTAACCACAGTGAACTGCCCAGCTGACAGGTGTGACAGACAGGTGAGTCTGGGGGATGACTTAACCACAGTGAACTGCCCAGCTGACAGGTGTGACAGACAGGTGAGTCTGTAGGATGACTTAACCACAGTGAACTGCCCAGCTGACAGGTGTGACAGACAGGTGAGTCTGGGGGATGACTTAACCACAGTGAACTGCCCAGCTGACAGGTGTGACAGACAGGTGAGTCTGTAGGATGACTTAACCACAGTGAACTGCCCAGCTGACAGGTGTGACAGACAGGTGAGTCTGTAGGATGACTTTACCCCAGTGATCTGCCCAGCTGACAGGTGTGACAGACAGGTGAGTCTGGGGGATGACTAAACCACAGTGAACTGCCCAGCTGACAGGTGTGTCAGACAGGTGAGTCGGGGGGATGACTTAACCCCAGTGATCTGCCCAGCTGACAGGTGTGACAGACAGGTGAGTCTGTAGGATGACTTGACCACAGTGAACTGCCCAGCTGACAGGTGTGACAGACAGGTGAGTCGGGGGGATGACTTGACCCCAGTGATCTGCCCAGCTGACAGGTGTGACAGACAGGTGAGTCGGGGGGATGACTTGACCCCAGTGATCTGCCCAGCTGACAGGTGTGACAGACAGGTGAGTCTGGGGGATGGCTTGGCCCCAATCATCTGCCCAGCTGACAGGTGAGTCTGGGGGATGACTTGACCCCAGTGATCTGCCCAGCTGACAGGTGTGACAGACAGGTGAGTCTGTAGGATGACTTGACCCCAGTGATCTGCCCAGCTGACAGGTGTGACAGACAGGTGAGTCTGTAGGATGACTTGACCCCAGTGATCTGTCCAGCTGACAGATGTGACAGACAGGTGAGTCTGGGGGATGGCTTGGCCCCAATCACCTGCCCAGCTGACAGGTGAGTCTGGGGGATGACTTGACCCCAGTGAACTGCCCAGCTGACAGGTGTGACAGACAGGTGAGTCTGGGGGATGACTTGACCCCAGTGATCTGCCCAGCTGACAGATGTGACAGACAGGTGAGTCTGGGGGATGGCTTGGCCCCAATCACCTGCCCAGCTGACAGGTGAGTCTGGGGGATGACTTGACCCCAGTGATCTGCCCAGCTGACAGGTGTGACAGACAGGTGAGTCTGGGGGATGACTTGACCCCAGTGATCTGCCCAGCTGACAGGTGTGACAGACAGGTGAGTCTGTAGGATGACTTGACCCCAGTGATCTGCCCAGCTGACAGGTGTGACAGACAGGTGAGTCTGGGGGGATGACTTGACCCCAGTGATCTGCCCAGCTGACAGGTGTGACAGACAGATGAGTCTGTAGGATGACTTGACCCCAGTGATCTGCCCAGCTGACAGGTGTGACAGACAGGTGAGTCTGGGGGATGACTTGACCCCAGTGATCTGCCCAGCTGACAGGTGTGACAGACAGGTGAGTCTGTAGGATGACTTGACCCCAGTGATCTGCCCAGCTGACAGGTGTGACAGACAGGTGAGTCTGGGGGATGACTTGACCCCAGTGATCTGCCCAGCTGACAGGTGTGACAGACAGGTGAGTCTGGGGGATGACTTGACCCCAGTGATCTGCCCAGCTGACAGGTGTGACAGACAGGTGAGTCTGTAGGATGACTTGACCCCAGTGATCTGCCCAGCTGACAGGTGTGACAGACAGGTGAGTCTGGGGGATGACTTGACCCCAGTGATCTGCCCAGCTGACAGGTGTGACAGACAGGTGAGTCAGGGGGATGACTTGACCCCAGTGATCTGCCCAGCTGACAGGTGTGACAGACAGGTGAGTCTGGGGGATGACTTGACCCCAGTGATCTGCCCAGCTGACAGGTGTGACAGACAGGTGAGTCGGGGGGATGACTTGACCCCAGTGATCTGCCCAGCTGACAGGTGTGACAGACAGGTGAGTCAGGGGGATGACTTGACCCCAGTGATCTGCCCAGCTGACAGGTGTGACAGACAGGTGAGTCTGGGGGATGACTTGACCCCAGTGATCTGCCCAGCTGACAGGTGTGACAGACAGGTGAGTCGGGGGGATGACTTGACCCCAGTGATCTGCCCAGCTGACAGGTGTGACAGACAGGTGAGTCGGGGGGATGACTTGACCCCAGTGATCTGCCTAGCTGACAGGTGTGACAGACAGGTGAGTCTGGGGGATGACTTGACCCCAGTGATCTGCCCAGCTGACAGGTGTGACAGACAGGTGAGTCTGGGGGATGACTTGACCCCAGTGATCTGCCCAGCTGACAGGTGTGACAGACAGATGAGTCTGTAGGATGACTTGACCCCAGTGATCTGCCCAGCTGACAGGTGTGACAGACAGGTGAGTCTGGGGGATGACTTGACCCCAGTGATCTGCCCAGCTGACAGGTGTGACAGACAGGTGAGTCTGGGGGATGACTTGACCCCAGTGATCTGCCCAGCTGACAGGTGTGACAGACAGGTGAGTCTGGGGGATGACTTGACCCCAGTGATCTGCCCAGCTGACAGGTGTGACAGACAGGTGAGTCTGGGGGATGACTTGACCCCAGTGATCTGCCCAGCTGACAGGTGTGACAGACAGGTGAGTCTGGGGGATGGCTTGGCCCCAATCACCTGCCCAGCTGACAGGTGAGTCTGGGGGATGACTTGACCCCAGTGATCTGCCCAGCTGACAGGTGTGACAGACAGGTGAGTCTGGGGGATGACTTGACCCCAGTGATCTGTCCAGCTGACAGGTGTGACAGACAGGTGAGTCTGTAGGATGACTTGACCCCAGTGATCTGCCCAGCTGAAAGGTGTGACAGACAGGTGAGTCTGGGGGATGACTTGACCCCAGTGATCTGCCCAGCTGACAGGTGTGACAGACAGGTGAGTCTGTAGGATAACTTGACCCCAGTGATCTGCCCAGCTGACAGGTGTGACAGACAGGTGAGTCTGGGGGATGACTTGACCCCAGTGATCTGCCCAGCTGACAGGTGTGACAGACAGGTGAGTCTGGGGGATGACTTGACCCCAGTGATCTGCCCAGCTGACAGGTGTGACAGACAGGTGAGTCTGGGGGATGACTTGACCACAGTGATCTGCCCAGCTGACAGGTGTGACAGACAGGTGAGTCAGGGGGATGACTTGACCCCAGTGATCTGCCCAGCTGACAGGTGTGACAGACAGGTGAGTCGGGGGGATGACTTGACCCCAGTGATCTGCCCAGCTGACAGGTGTGACAGACAGATGAGTCTGTAGGATGACTTGACCCCAGTGATCTGCCCAGCTGACAGGTGTGACAGACAGGTGAGTCTGGGGGATGACTTGACCCCAGTGATCTGCCCAGCTGACAGGTGTGACAGACAGGTGAGTCTGGGGGATGACTTGACCCCAGTGATCTGCCCAGCTGACAGGTGTGACAGACAGATGAGTCTGTAGGATGACTTGACCCCAGTGATCTGCCCAGCTGACAGGTGTGACAGACAGGTGAGTCTGGGGGATGACTTGACCCCAGTGATCTGCCCAGCTGACAGGTGTGACAGACAGGTGAGTCTGGGGGATGACTTGACCCCAGTGATCTGCCCAGCTGACAGGTGTGACAGACAGGTGAGTCGGGGTGATGACAATTAAGAAAGAAGTCTGTTTTGCTTATCTAAACTTTATTTCATCACAATAGTTCATGTAAGTTATTATTGATGACACATTTTTTATATCAGTAATCGTTAATATTTCTTCACATCAACGATAACTCCGATTATCGATCTTATTAGGCAGTCCTAGTATGACATCTCTCATATTTCCCATGACTATATACAGTATACTACGCTTATAACAAACTCAAATGGACCACTAATCTTTGTTTGATATAACCGTAGTACGCTATAAGCATATATGCAACATCTATACAGCAAATGGCCGGCACCAAAAATTATGTTTGTTGTATCCGTCAGTTCGTTACAAGTGTGTTCATTATAAAAGTATTTTACTGTTTGTTCATTTAGGGGAGACTCTCACCTTGTTCTGATGGGGAAATTCCTCTTGACACGATGGACCTCATCATTGGGAATGGTAGAAGTTCAAACGCCAACAGCAGAATGGCTGGAAAATAAGGAAAAAATCTTTGAACATGACGAGAACATGCAGTGAAGCAGTCGTGGTTAGGCCAACTCGCTGGTTAGGCCAGACCATTCAGGCACAGCTCACTGTTCCCGTTTACTGGTAATTACCAGTGTTTTAGAAGTGGTATTAGGCTTGGACAAATAATTCATGTGACCATGGTGACTGTCAGTCCCTGTGGACCGGAAAATACCTTATAAATCTTTTTTGTTCAAGAAAACATCAGCAATATACCTGTAAGTATTTTTTTCGAATGAAGTCAGCTTGTCTGTTACCATCATGGCTTCCCCTTGTCTATTTTTAGTGCAAGGAAATAACATTTCGCTTTGTTTCGTGGATACATATCTAAAGCGACTTAGTCTCGAAATATTCCCCAAAAAGAGAGAAAATTGTGACTGAAGTTAGTGTGAATGACATGTAGATCTAACTAAGTTCCTTCAGAGATGACGTCATTGCATTGAACATGATGCTGAAAGAATTAAAACCAGGTACTTTTCATACATTTTGTTATTTGACAAAAATTAGGGGGGACTGACAATTTTTAGACTGGGAGTTTCAAAAGGCAGCGGGAACACTGCAGCTTGACTTGGGTGGAGAGAAACTGAGAGATGTGTGTCCACGACATCAGGTTCATTGTCTTGTCCTTCTGCTCGCTGATCAATGGTCACCTGATTTAAATTAATTGATTTCTGGCAAACATCCCTGCCCATTGCTTCCATGCCTGGGGCACATTAAGCACAAGCTATCACCTCGGTGATGTTTAATCATTAAACTCTCTGCAATATGTATGTGTCAGACACGGAAACAAAAGCCGAATCCCCCCCACTGACTGCTGTCACCAGCAGCAGAAGCAACTTGGGGCCACATTCAAGCTACCTGCAACATCATTTCACCATTGCCTCAGTTGTAATGCAGATCGTTCAGTCTGCCAAATCAATAATTTAATTGCACTACATTGTCAGAATATTAAAATTAAACTGACAAATCTCGTAACGATATTACTACCAATATCAGCTTTGTTTAAATCTGGAAAACCCAATGTCTATATACAAACAGCCTTCTAAGCAAGCTATCAGTGGCAGCCAATCAGAATTAAGTTTAATTACTTGCCTACAGGGGGTGCTTGTGTTTGCTACATCACTTGGAACTCCCCCATCAAGCCAATCAAGAAAATATACGGCACCAAATTTCAAGTTTTGATGTTAAACCGAAACGTCATGGATTCCAATAAACAGCAAATCGTTATCATAATACCTCAAAGTGCGAGACAACAAGCCAACCACTAATATTGTGTTGATGTTTGCAAGTCAATTGAATTTATTATTGTTTCAGATTATGCTTTGTGGTTCAATCAATAACAACATAATTTATGGTGTACTGAACTGGCTACTGAGTGTGGAGAGTCACATGTGAAGGGTTATCATATTATATAGAAGTTGTTTTTGTAATTATGTCAATGTACAAACAAAATAACAGACAAAGGAGACTACGATTTACTTACATCAATAACTGCGTAGACCAATAGATATATACGTGAAATATGATATGAAAGCAGGATTAGGGGGAGAAGAGAATATGTTTTACATTAAAAAAATAATTTGTGGTGTGAGTGAGTTGGTATGCCGTTTTTAACAGTATTACAGTTATATCACGGCGTGTCAGCTTAATGTAGAAGGAAAACCCGAAGCGATGCAGGTCTCAAATGTTTACTACTTTGGTCAAACCCATGGGAATGGAGCTGACAAACCTAGAAATATAACAGGGGTCAAACCAGGTCCGAGTCCACAATCATCGGTAATTTATTATAAAAGACGGACATCAATAAATATGTTGTAAGAATGACCCATACAAAGGCCTATGACTCCCTGTGGCACAGCTTGAGGGCCATGTTGACCCAAGTTTTAAAAGGCTAGGCAAACCCTGCATGATCTCCATTCATTGATTATAATATATCAACTCCCTCAAGCTGTAAATGTAAACCGATAGTCATCTGCAGACACAAAGACTTGAAACAATGGCACATGCTTGAAGTGGCAAAGTTTTGCCTTGATGGATGACCACGTCTCATCAGTAATATTTCTTATGTTTATCCATTAATCCATCCTTGACATAAGACAGCATCACCCTTTATTACAACAAATACGGCACTTTTCTCCCGGGCGAGATCATTTCTGCATCATCACGATCGTGACATCCTATTTATATTTCTGGAACATACACAAAATACTTTTTTTACCAAATATCCAAGATCAATGGTTAACACGTCCAACTAATACAGTATATATATGTTCTGGTAATGCAACTTTCCAACACCTGAGCCTTGAGCTGACAATTTCGCGTCCGTGGTGTACGGGGCAGACACATGCTCACTTCCCTGCTCAGCCGGCAAACATGCGTGGCAAGGCAAGCATGGTACGCTTTATAAAGGGAAATACTCAAACTGGAATATAGCATGGACATTCAACATGGCCACCTGTGGTGTAAATATGCTTTGTTATTTTCCTTCAACGGTTACAGCTTAATCAAACAAGCAAGATGGAAATTGTTCAACAAGGAGCAATTCAGTAATGCTAAGCTGCTTCTGAGGCCTGCAGAACCTGTTTCAGTTAATTCTTGACGTAAATACCAGTTCAGACTAAAATAGTCACATGAGGCATTAAGCGTTGAAAAAGATTGATGAAACATTTCCTCTCATATATGAGGCTTGCAAACCACATTCATTGTTATGAATTTTGATGTTTGGAAGCTGTAGAAGATTAATAAAAAACATTTATGTCAAGCTAAATTAAAATAAAAATTGAAATAACCATTTGAATATTGTAGATTGTTTGAAGCGATATGTAGGCCAGTGCCTTCAAGACTGATCAACATGACGGATCAACAGGAAGAAATACCCTGTCCCAGTGTCTCCAAGACTGAATAACAGGAAGAAATACCCTGTCCCAGTGTCTCCAAGACGGATCAACATGACGGATCAACAGGAAGAAATACCTTGTCCCAGTGTCTAGAAGACTGATCAACATCACGGATCAACAGGAAGAAATACCCTGTCCCAGTGTCTCCAAGACTGAACAACAGGAAGAAATACCCTGTCCCAGTGTCTCCAAGACTGAACAACAGGAAGAAATACCCTGTCCCAGTGTCTCCAAGACTGATCAACATCACGGATCAACAGGAAGAAATACCCTGTCCCAGTGTCTCCAAGACTGAACAACAGGAAGAAATACCTTGTCCCAGTGTCTCCAAGACTGGTCAACATCATGGATCAACAGGAAGAAATACCCTGTCCCAGTGTCTCCAAGACAGATCAACAGGAAGAAATACCCTGTCCCAGTGTCTCCAAGACAGATCAACAGGAAGAAATACCCTGTCCCAGTGTCTCCAAGACTGAACAACAGGAAGAAATACCCTGTCGCAGTGTCTCCAAGACGGATCAACAGGAAGAAATACCCTGTCCCAGTGTCTCCAAGACTGAACAACAGGAAGAAATACCCTGTCCCAGTGTCTCCAGGTCAGAACAACAGGAAGAAATACCCTGTCCCAGTGTCTCCAAGACTGAACAACAGGAAGAAGTACCCTGTCCAAATGTCCGGGACACTGGTTCTCCTTGCCCCAGAATGGGTTTCCAGTGCTGATGGCAACGCCACAACCAACATGGGTACAGCTTGGTGATGTGACTGGTTGTGGCGGGCACAGCTTGGTGATGTGACTGGTTGTGGTGGGTACAGCTTGGTGATGTGACTGGTTGTGGCGGGTACAGCTTGGTGATGTGACTGGTTGTGGCGGGTACAGCTTGGTGATGTGACTGGTTGGGGCAGGCACAGCTTGGTGATGTGACTGGTTGTGGCGGGTACAGCTAGGTGATGTGACTGGTTGTGGCGGGTACAGCTTGGTGATGTGACTGGTTGTGGCGGGTACAGCTAGGTGATGTGACTGGTTGTGGCGGGTACAGCTTGGTGATGTGACTGGTTGTGGCGGGCACAGCTTGGTGATGTGACTGGTTGTGGCGGGCACAGCTTGGTGATGTGACTGGTTGTGGCGGGCACAGCTTGGTGATGTGACTGGTTGTGGCGGGTACAGCTTGGTGATGTGACTGGTTGTGGCGGGCACAGCTTGGTGATGTGACTGGTTTTGGCGGGCACAGCTTGGTGATGTGACTGGTTGTGGCGGGCACAGCTTGGTGATGTGACTGGTTGTGGCGGGCACAGCTTGGTGATGTGACTGGTTTTGGCGGGCACAGCTTGGTGATGTGACTGGTTGTGGCGGGCACAGCTTGGTGATGTGACTGGTTGTGGCGGGTACAGCTTGGTGATGTGACTGGTTGTGGCAGGCACAGCTTGGTGATGTGACTGGTTGTGGCGGGTACAGCTTGGTGATGTGACTGGTTGTGGCGGGCACAGCTTGGTGATGTGACTGGTTGTTGCGGGTACAGCTAGGTGATGTGACTGGTTGTGGCGGGCACAGCTTGGTGATGTGACTGGTTGTGGCGGGCACAGCTTGGTGATGTGACTGGTTGTGGCGGGCACAGCTTGGTGATGTGACTGGTTGTGGCGGGTACAGCTTAGTGATGTGACTGGTTGTGGCGGGCACAGCTTGGTGATGTGACTGGTTGTGGCGGGCACAGCTTGGTGATGTGACTGGTTGTGGCGGGTACAGCTTGGTGATGTGACTGGTTGTGGCGGGCACAGCTTGGTGATGTGACTGGTTGTGGCGGGCACAGCTTGGTGATGTGACTGGTTGTGGCATCGCCCTGTAATCAACCCCTGCTTTGCCTGGCAGACACTTCGCAGGTCAGGACACTGACATGGCTGGACCATGGCTGCAGCAAACAGTGCAAACCTACACGTGTAGCGCCTTTCACAGGTGTTTCACAGGGATTGCAAGTGTGTGAGCTGAGCAGGATTCACATCACAATTCATCTCATCTATTCATCACTCTATTCGTTTTTTCCCAAAATGAGTATGCATTTTGAGATTTAAAAA